ACATGATACTTACGAATGAGATAATTGGTTGGCATAGACAAACACCCAGACATGAGAAAAAGGCAAAGCTAATCTGAACCAAAGCTTTGAATTTTGGCTCTGATTACCAAAATGTTTGTATGTGGACATGAACAATGAGCATACTCATTGTGAAGAAAAAACTTTCTGACTGTTGGCAAACTCAGTCTCACTTGTGGCCTCAGACACTACTAAATCTTTTTTTTTTTTAAGCCATAAGATACTGTTTCCCACTTCTGATAAAAAATGTATGTACTGTATCTTTATGCTCCTGAACTTAGGACAAGTGAAAAGTCCCATTTGGTGAGCTCGATTTCCAGCGCTGTGGATTTCCTCGTGCATTTGATAAAAGAGAACAGTTAAACAAAGGCTTTGTGGTAGCTGATATTGCCGTGTTTCCAAAACAGACTGGAGTGACAATCTGCCTCCTGTGTTTCCCCTGGTCTGAGGAGGAAGTAGATGGAAATACTGTAATTGCAGCCTTGTGCTGCCAGCCAGTCCCTCCCCTGGGCAGGAGGTGAGAAGTGCTTCGCAGTCATCCTGCAGAAACTCCTTCTCTGGTGTGGCATTGCCTAAAAGTGTGTTGCCTAGGGCTTTAAAAGCCATAGCATGATTTAATCTCACTGTTTGAGTGTTTTATTCAAAATGAAATATGGGAAGGCAGCACACAATCTTGTTTTGATGTGTTAAACTTATATATAAGTTACTATTGTGATGAAAGCCATACGACTTTGGTATCCTTACTTTGACATGCTTACATTCCTAGACTTGCTGTTGTCCTAGGTAATGGAGGTTTCTAACTGTCTGAAGCAATGCAGAAAGTTTAGTGCTAATAGAGTTTTGGGGTTTAAAATCTCTCTGTTGAAATTACAGGGCTTGTGAGCTTAAGCCCTAATGACTTGGCAAGGAGTATTTGTGAGCCCTGTAGCTGTTAATTGGAACGACCATCAGCTTCTCAGAGGAAACCAGTCCTCAGGATGAAGAGGCAAGGAAAACCGAGCTGTGTTTTGTGTAGATCATTTGCCTTTGTCCCACAGTGGCAAATAGTCAAGCCCTGTGCAGACACATCAGAATACAGCTGGAACAGCTGAGGTCAAGCCAGGCTTAGTAGGTCTGGGTCAGTGTGAGCCACGACCTGCTGGGTTTGGGCAGCACGGTGCTAAGCCCTGGACTGACACCGAAGCCTGAAGTCTCCCCATGGGCTGGTGCTGAGTTCAGAGCTGCTCACCCTCCCCCAGCCAAGCCTCTCTTGTCCCAGGAAGGCACCTTTATCAGGAAGGTGGCTTTCCCAGGCTGAAACTCATCACTTGCAGTTCGGGTGTGCTGACCCCTGTGATTTCCACAGATGCAAAGCTAATGAATATAGCTGTAATCTGTTAATAGGTGACTCATTTCAGACCATGGCAAAAGTGTTTTATTTGTAGTGGGAAATACTGGGGTAAGAAAAAGTGTATGCCATAGATGTGGGATAGAAGAAGACGGCAGCAGAAAGAGGAGTATAAATAGGATTAAAGGCACATCAAAATTCCTTAAGCAACAGAAAGTTGCTCAGAAAGTGCAGGTAATTGTGCAAAAGCACAGAAAATTCCTAGTGACAGATAAACCTGAAAGCACACTGCAAACATAATATTTCCTGTAGCCTATTCACCAGTCAGACCCACTTTCTCCCTCTCTGCTCTCTTCCAGTGCCCAAAATCACTGAAATGTGCAATGTTTTGCAAGGTTATATGGAAAATCACTTTATTACTTCTACCTGAAAAGCTTCAAAGCAACAAAACCTAACTTCTGATTTCTATAAAAGCCGAAGGTATTAAGACAGACAAAATGTGAATAGAATTGATTTTGCGCAATTTTCTACGGACAAGCAGGATACATTAGCAGTCTGGAAATGTCGTGAAAGACAGCAGTAAGCAATACTGGAGAATATTTAATTTAGTAAAGGGCAGTCCATGGGGATCTATGCAAAAATTATCAACTGGCAGTGTAAGCCAAAGCATTTAGAGAATGAAATAGCAAGTGAAAAAAGGTAAGATATTTGCCTCTTTTAAGAAATAAAGTATATTTCTATATCTTTCAACTTATTTCTGAAACCACTGAAACAGTCTTTTAGAGTCAGAGACCAATGGAAGGGATATACTTCCAATATACTGAGCTGGAAGGGACCCCCTAGGATCATCAGGTACAGCTCCTGACTCTGCACAGGGCACTCCAAGGGTCACACCCCATGCCTGAGAGTGTTGTCCAAAGGCTTCTTGAGCTCTGTCAGCCTCAGTGCTGTGACCACTGCCCTGGGGAGCCTGTTCCACTGCCCAAACACCCTCTGGGTGAAGAAACTTTTTCTAACATCCAGCCTAAACCTCTTCTGACTCGGCTTCATGCTGGTTCCTCAGATCCTGTTGCTGCCACAGGAGCAAAGAGATGGCTGTCTGTCCCTCTGCTGCACCTCGTCGGGATGTTGGAGGCAGAATCCTCCAGCACTTGCCCTTGTTAAACTCCACATGGGTGGTGATTGTCCCTCTCTTAATTTGCTGAGGTCTGTCTGCCCTTGAAGGAGTCAACAGCTCCTCCCAGTTTAGTATCATCAAATTGGGAGAAACTGTCAACTCCCTCGAGGGAGACTAGACAACAAGTTAGAGCAGTGAATATGTCTATAAATAACACCCTGCAACAGACTGCAAATAGTGAATCTGTCTAAATAGTGAAGGGATTCTAGGTAGGCTTAGAAATGTTAGATTTGCTGGTTTGGGGAGGAAAGAGTAGAATAGAATGTAATGAGTATTAATACCAGCATTTTTAAATTTTATTTATAGCTCACTTGGAAGTTTTTATTACTTTTTAGCTAATATCTTGTGGCAAAGTTGCACCAGAGAAGAGAAGGTTAGGTAATCAAGTAAGAGAGAATGATCATGTGGGTATGTCCTCCTTTGAATATGTATTGTTAGAAATTTTTGTTTGTTTCTGTGGTTAATTATATGCCAGTAGATGTGAAGAAATACCATAACTTTGGTCATCATAACAAAGGAAAGACCTTGATGTCCAGGACTTTCATCTTTTCAAGTATATAAGTGTAGTAGCTACTCTTGATGTATTTAGTTCGTAACAAGGGAGTATCATGTGAATAAGTACAAAGAAATTACACCATCGGGAAATCAATCCTGCTATTTGAGCTGTGGTGGCAAGATCCTGAGTCTTACAGTGTAGCACCTTGGAAATTGGTTTTCCTTTACTTTAGAGAAAAGATGTGTGGAAAGTGAACTGATTTCACAGCTGTAGCTATTTCATAAGGAAATGGTCACAGGTGCTATAGAAGGAGATTATGCTGTAAATAATCAAGCCGAAATGTTCTTGTAGAAGAAGACTTCTTATATAAATTTGCTGGTTTTGTGTATAACCTGTATATAATATCAAGTGTACATGGAAATACTCAGGATCATTTTCATTCTCCAGGTGGGGCACCCCAGAGGAAGGTGTCAGACTTGACACTCATAATAAAAAAAAAATAACAGGGCATTAAATATATTATACACAGTCCTGTGTTTTTCATGGAACCTGTGGCAACCAGCAAACTGCATTCTTTGTCTTGCAAATTTTACAGTTGGTTAAAACATGGATCAAAAAGCCCAGTCCTAACACTGGAATAAAGAGGTCCAGTATCAACCTTCAGAGTTCCTGAAAATGCCAAAGATGTACAGGAATGATCCTGGAGGAGTGACACATCTTGTACAAAGTCACAGAATGCATCAGAAGTAATTTAAGGAAAAGAATTTAATGATTCACTTCCTATTAATTATTTTTAAAAAGTGTATATTGATCTAAGAAACCAATTTCAATAGTCACTATTAGAAACCAGCTTCTCTAGTCACTATTAATTCCTCAAACAAAATAATTGCCAGTGTTCTTAGAAAACTGAGAGACAAATGATTAATTCCTGCTATGGGGTGTGATGTGTGCTGGATTAACTGAAAGATTTAGTTGACTAATGGTTGGGTAAATCTGGATATACACTCTTAAGATCATAACACTGCTACAAATCTGAGAATCCTCTGTATGTGTAATAATATGGAAGCTAATTTTTCATCTTGCCCTAATGCCTCATTCATAGTTTCAGTGAACTTTGGATCCAGATTTAATGTGAAAAGTCACTTGTAATCATGTGAAATGAAGAAATTGCAATTACAATGTGAATATTTTCTTGGAAGGACTAAATGAGTGGATTATCTACTTATCCCTTATTTAATAATACCTAAATTAAATAGTCCTAAGGAAATAGAGGATTAACAAATAAGAAGTATAATACACAGCAAGCAGTCTAGCTGAAGAAAGACTACATAATCTAAAATATCCTCAACTAAATCCACTGAAGCAAATTTAGCAGGGAGACTGAATTACTTTGGACATGTGCGTGCTTACAGTGGTCCATTTGGGTCAAGGCTAAAGTTCAGGAAGGATAGAGAGTGAGTCTCAGACTGCCTTTCCCTTCTTTACCTATCCAGTCCATGAGTGGAGGACTCCAGCTGTGAATGGACATAATCCTCTTAAGAGTAAAAAATCGAAATATTTGTGTAAAAACAAGCAAACAAATGTAGCACGACAGCACACAGATAGACTGGGGAGCTTCTTCCTGTTGTTTGTGCTTCTCTGTGACTCATCCTGCAGTTTGCTCTCCCTGAGGTCAGCTGGAAGAACTTCTGTTGACTTCAGTGTGTGTAGGACAACAGTTCACCAATACAAAATTTTTTTTCTTTTTTTATTTTATCCCAAAATCACATCTTTCCAAAGAATACATTTGAAGATGGATCTATTTTATATGGAGCTGTATTCAAAACTCTTGGTATTTCTGCATGAAAGTTGCAATCAGTTCCTGTCTCAACAATTCTGTCTCAATCAATTTCTGTCTCCCACATTAAGGACCCAGGTTTCCATTCCTAGCTCCTTTCTGCCTTCTTTCTATCTAAACCAGAATTTCCTCTGCTTTTTTCCAGGTCTGGAGTTGGTGTGACAGGTTCTAGGCAGACTTTGTTTTATGCAGAAGTAAATGACCAGATGAGAACCAGTGGAGGAGGTGGCCAGCCTGAAGAAGGAGAGCTGATTGAAGTTGTGGAAATACCTTTAGGAGAATCCATGAAGTTTGCTTATGATGAGACTTTCCCGAAGACAATGGGTGTCATCTTCAGCTTCATGTGGTTCCACAACAACATAGCACCTAAACTACCCAAAAAGTAAAGCACCACGATTTTAAGGAAAGCTTTTCTGCTGGTGCTGTGCATGCAGAAAGCTGCAAATCTGCCTGCCTCAATCAACTCAACTTCTCACAAGAGAAATATTTCTTTAAATAAATTTGGAAGTAAAATCTGAATTTAAACCTTCACACAATTTCCATTATTAGCAAAACGCTAACTGGCATCACTGGAGATTTGCCTTGGAGAGGCAAATGTTGATTTTTGTGCCAAGGTTAAGTGAATGTGTCCAGTTCTCCTTTCTCACAGCACTGTTTTGAGGAGCTGCCCAAGCCCTCAGCCCAGCTGCCTCAGGAGCCTCTCACCGTGTCTGTACATACTGGCAATGTGTATTCATTGTCAGTTTTGATTTTTTTTTTTTTTAAGAAAGCAACAAACCTTAATAGTCACAGGTACCTTGACAACGTTCCTGAGTTCAGCACAGCTTTCAGGGAGCAGCTCTCTCTGTGGTGTGTGGCTCCTGTGCAGAGGAGGGGTTTGCATTTCTGAACATGCAGACCTTTATTTCAGAAGCAAACAGCTCTGTAAATCCTGCTAACGTGTCACTTTGACAATGGAGCAGCTGTAAGATTATGTGCTCCTTGTTGTTCCCATCACAATGCTGGGCAGCAGTGATGGTGATGGAGGGGTGAAGGATGGGGGCTTCTGCTGGAACACATGCTTCTTTGTTTGCTTTATGGGCAATAGTTGATAAATTAGATCAAACTTTGTCCTCTAGAGCGGGACCAGAGAGGCCGAATTCTTTTAATTTGACTGTGAGGTGATTAACACAAGGGATTTCTCTGAGGTTTGATGTGGTCTCTTATTTCCTTACCACCCAAATGGGAGGAATGGAACTTATCCCTTAGATAACACTTCTTGGAATCTAATGATTGGAAGTGCTTTATTGTGATTTTATCATGATTTGTGCAGTTTACATGAAAGCCTGTGCAACCTGCCCAGACGTACTGAGGAATGGCTTTTAAAATCAACGTCTTGATTTAATAATTTGATTTAATAAAGTGGTCTAATTAGAACATATAGTACTTGTTCTATCAGTGTAGTTTGGATGTGGACTGTTTGTCATGTGGAACTGTTAAGAGCATGAATGAAACAGAATGAAGTCTGGCAATTTAATTATGCACTGGGTTATGTTATTCACTGACTTAATCAATATGCCCACATTATAAATGCCTCCAGGAGTACTGAAGTGCTAAGTGTGTTTAGAAGAGAACTGCAAATATGCAAACTTGAACTTAACAGCTGAAATGAATGCAGCAGAGGTGTCTGATGGTGTCCAGTGGCTGATTTTAAATCACTGCTTATCTCAATAGGTGTATAAATTTTAAAAAAAGGTGTTTTTAAAAAAGAGCTTTTAGAATTGCTGCTTGCTGGTTCTCCTCCTGATAGGGAGGAAAGGTCCTTGGAAAGCCACTGAAGAAGGAGCAGCCTCTGCCTGTGGAGTCAGGCTATTTGTGGAAGTTCAGACACAGCTGGGCCTGGTGCATGGTGAGTCAAGGGCTGAGTTATTGTGAGAAGCAAATAAATTCTGTCTGTCTGATGTATTTACATTGGAAGGTGTTTCAAGGTGGGGTCTCCACTGCTCTGTCTAGTACACTGTGTCATGATTGCTGCTGAGGCCTTTGTGAACTACTACAGTCCATAGAATAAATAATGCCTTTTATTCCAGGCTGTAGTAACAAAAGTTTCTATTTGATTCCACCAAAATTACGGGTAGCACAGCAGCTTATTTGCATACATGTCAAAAATCTTTTTTCTGTATAATGCAGAAATTGGGAAAAATAAAGTATTTTGCCCCTCCAAGGCGCGGTGACTGTGCCTCTTAATGTACCAAACCTCCCCAGGGGCAGTGCCAGGCTTGCCAGAATCTGGCCTCAGGTCCTGCTGCTTCCCAGGGGTGGGGTGAGAGCTGGAGGTCACCCTGTGGGAAGAGGGGGACATGTGGCAGCATGGAGGGGTGTGGGGAGGAAGCCACAGGGGTGGCAGGGTGGCATCAGTGCTCTGCTTGCTCTGAGGTGACCTCACCAACACAGCCTACAGGCTCCAGAGTGTTTTTAGGCAGGTGATACTCGTGGATAATGGTGATGGAGGGCAGTGGCATGAGCTGGGCATTCCCTCCATGATGTAGGCAGCCAGACAAGCTTTGTCCCCACTTCCCAGTCTGCTCCTCCAGGGCTCTACTGGGCACACACCTACAGACTCCTGGGGGACTGCAGTGGCTCTGAAGCCTTTACACCCCAAGGGATGCAGGGCTCCATCCCTGTGCTCTGCCTCACCATCCCCACATTGTGCAATTCCCAAACGCACAAAACAGTCACAGGATTGCTTCCATTTTCTTCCACAGTTTGGGAATTATCCACAGAAAGAGCAGTGTACTGAAAGCTGTGCATCAAACAATGAGGGATCTGGAGTTCAATCTGCAATATGAAATATAAATGTGTCTTCAACCTCTTACTTTTTCCATGTCAGTTTTGGTGGGAGATTTTATAAGCCATTATGAAGGTTTGAAAATGTGGGACAAAGGGCTTGGCCTTGTTGAGGTTTTTTTTTGAACACAGTAGATGATTCATATTTATAAAAATAAAACCAGGACAATTCAAATGTCATTTCACTCATCCGGGCTCATTTCAAAGATCCTAATTAGAGCAAATCCAATATACATTGGCCAAGCCAGGCAGGGAAAAAGTTCTTCTAATGGAATCTCACAATCCCATCTGCGTTTTAGATGCATCCTTTGGACGTGCCACCACGCATACATCCATTGAGGGTGGACAGTTAGCATAAAGCAGGGTCCCCATTTGCTGCTAATGAATACTGGCTCCAGCCTGCAGAATTCTGATCTGATCTCATCCCACCATCCCCACGAGATCAGCATCTTATTATTGAGTACAATTGAGTGGTCCACATTTATAAGACAAGTCTTAGAATCTCTGCTGTCTTTACGATGTGACTTTGAGATGCAGAAATAATTTAATGAACCCCAAGTTATGACTCAGACTTCTAATGAAGCCTGTAATGATAAAACCTTCAATGCAGTGTCGCTGTCAGGCTCACTATTGGTGGCAGAAGAGAAGGCACCAGCACCTTGCAAGTCCGTGGACCTCGTCTGTCACTGCTCTTTGTGACCCTATTTGTAAAGCGGCTGCAAGCCCTGAGCTGCTCCCAGCTCTCAGGAGCAGAGATACGATTAAAACGCCTTCTCTAAAAGACTGTCACTATAAACAAGCCAGCTGAATTGCCCCGTGGGGCTGGCGGGGTGCGGCATTCCCCGGGGAATGCGGGGATGCTCCCGCGGCGCTGGAAGCGCTCCCCGGCCGGCGCCCGCTCGCCTTTCCCCGCTCCATCACCGCCCCTCGCCGCCGGCCAGAAAAGCGGCGCCCCGGGGCCGGGGCCAGGCCAAGGGCAACCGAGATAATTGCTCCCGAAATACACGTGCCGACCGCGCAGGGCGACCCGCTGGACAAATAGGATTTTTGCTAAATTAGGACAATTGCCGAGCGCGCTCCATCCGCTCGCCGGGGCTCTATACATAGATGAAAGGCACACCCAGTTGTGCAATCTGTTGCAATGGCACACCTGGTGCTGTCTGCAAGTCTATTCACAACCGTCAGCAGGTGCGACGTGGCCTTTGTGGCCATAAAAGTCTGTCTGGGCCGCCCCTGCTGCGCTCCCCGCGCTCTGGCAGGGGAGGCTGTCACAGATTAATGCGGTTGTTTGAAGCTGCTGGGAGCCACCGCCTGAAGCTTGTAGAGGCTTCAGGGGGATCAGAGCGAAGCCTGTGCACACAGGATGGATTTGCAGCTCCTGTCTTGGTGGCTGTGCCGGGGTGTCCCCAGTGCTGCTGCCTGAGCAGGGACCGGGGACGAGAGCAGCCTGCTCAGATGGGAGGGGGTTGGAATCAGATGGTCTTTAAGGGCTGTTCCAGGACAGTGATTCTATGATACAGCAGGTTCCTGTTTCTGCAGCCCCAGGAGTGCTGCCCGGTGGCTCTGGCATCAGGTAACAAAGATTTGCAATCGAGCCCCTGTTTGGGCTCAGTCTCTCCAAAAAAGGGGTTTGCTTGCTTTGCTTTGGGATGCTACATCTTACACAGCACAGCATTAAGGTGGAGTTCTGAGACCTCAACCCCAATCCAGACTCAACTTTCATTAAAAGAAGGATGCCATGGACCTCGAACTAGCTTTTCAGCAGGAGTTTTCATTCCCACTGGATCATGCAGGATTTTGCTTGATTCAAAAAAAAAAAAAAAAAAAAAAAAAAAAAATGCTCATATCCCATCCTGCTGCAAAAGGTACTTCTCAATTTGTCTAATCCTTCAGAGCCACTCTCATATTTTAATTGGCAATGCATTTTTACAAGGACTTAAATGCTCTTGAGATGAATCATGAGGGAAGAGAGGAAGAATTCATAGCAGCTAAATGGCCCAGATTTGTGGCGCTTGGAGCTCTCTGGCCTGCCTCAGGACTGGCTTCAGTGCATTTCTGGTAATTGGAAATACAATCAGATCCATATTAAACCCTGCCAACCACGGGCTGTATTGCTCTGCTGCTGAAGTGCTCAATATCCTGTACTGGCTTCAGTCTCTAATAAAACATTCAAAAGCAGTGATGTTCAGAGAAATCCCTTTTGCACCCTTGGTTATGAGGAAAATGGGCTGGGAATGGGCAATGTGGGAATGTCTGTCAACCACCATCATTAACAGTGGCCCTCATGCCCCAGCCTTGTTAACAGAAAAATCCCTGGGCTCCTCATGTGCCCACCTGTGCCTCACTTCTCAGGGTATGAGTTGATGGGTATAGCATTCAACAGTGTGAAAAGCATGATTTGATCCTTTTATGACAGCAAAATGTTGCTGTGTGTGGGAAGCCCCTGGGGTTGAAGCCACACGTGTGAGAGACTGACCGCTCCAAATGATGCCATCCCATGCATGTCCACCATGCTGTGAACAGAGCCTGGATTTAACCCTGTTTCCTGGGACTTCTGGAGAGGGGCTTGGGAAAGGAAAAAAAATAACAGGTCAGTCTGTTAATTCCCTGACAATAAGCCCAGAAGGACATCTCACCTGGCCCTAGGTGCCATGGGAACATCTGATGAGCCTTGCCCCAGTGCTTTGGGGTGTCTGGCACAGCACTGGCCCCGTGCCAGCCCTTTCCAAAGTCCCCAGCAGGTGATGGTGAGCGTGGATGGTGCTGCGCTCTGTGCTGTGGCACAGCCCAGCCACCACCTCCGAAGCCACCCAGGGGCTGTGGGCAGGACTAAGGCCAAGAGAATCACTGTGTTCCAGCCTGCTGGTCCCCTCCAGCTCTCCTGGGCCTGGGGATGGGGACAGGCTTTGGATCCAGGGTCACCAATTGGGTTTCCATTCGTGGAGATGATTGGTGAATAGAAGGCGCCTCCATCTCCTGCCCAGCGTGTGGGTCCCTATAGAGTCCTGCCCTGTTTAGTGGGGAGGGGGTGTTGGGAAAACACTTGCTCGTGCAGCAATCGCTAAAATAACTGTTCAAGGCACAATCACGCTCTTGAGAGTGCTAGAAACAATTTAAGAAATGTTCTTGGGACGAGCGGCGGGCGCTGTGCAAACAGCTCCGCGGGGTTTGTGCGAGGGGCCCCGGCCCCGGCCCCGCAGGAATGCGCTCGCTCCGATAACCCACACGCTCCTTCTTAACCTCCTTCCTTCAGTCCTTCAGGCTCCCCCCGCTACCACCCTGGCATTTGGAGTCCTCCTTTTGCAATAAAATCAGGGAAACAAAACCAGAGTTATCCATGCTACACTTTCTCCAGCTCCCCTTTTCTAGTCACTGTTAAAGCAAGAGACTTTGGGAGGACTTCAGCACTCCCCATGGGTCTCCCCAGAGGCAGAACGTGGGTTTTGCAGCTCTACAGATTCCCAGTCTCAGCAGGCTCTCAGTGGAGCTCGCTGGCCTGGCTGGGTTTGTGCCGCAGCCCGAGTGCCGCTGACCCCGGAGCTGGCGCTGCAGCAGGGATGCAAAGGCTTGAGTTACAGCAATCCATCAGCTGCTCATCCACTTGCCAGCCCCACTGCTCCCCTGCTATCAATCATGGGGGAGCCCCAGGGCAGGTTTGCAGCCCGGTTGTTCCTACTATGGCAGCTCAGCAGGGTGTCAGCAGCACAGGGGAGCCCCGAGCCTGAATGCAGCCACAGAGCTGGGACCTTCCACATCCACAGCAAATCTCCTTGGTCTTTGGGACTGGCATCAGGATCTGTCCTACCTCTTCCTATCATGGTTGAGGTAGCATCAGGGCAAAGCAGCCAAGATCACATTCAAGGTTTATGCTTAATCATGGAAGTGCTTCAGAAAACCCCATTTGCTGGAGTGAGCAACCTTTTGTCTGATATTTATGCAGTGTCTGTAAAGAGCAGGGAGAGGGGTTTGCAACAGGCTGCCAGGAAAACAGGGAACAGGGTTAGGCTGGTGCAGGGAGTGTATGAAAGTTGCACAGCCTCAGGTTGGCCTCCAAGGCAGCCACAACCCTTTACATCCCTGACCAGCTGATTTTGTAAGGGTGGAGACTGTCCCATTTGCAGCAGCAGCATCATTTTGGGCTGCCCAGAGCTGGAGCAGGACATGGCCAAGCCAGATACCAGCTTTGTACCCAATGTTCCCACCTGCTACATCTTCCCAGTCATGCTGCCAGCTTCATTTTTCCAAATGGCTTTGTTTTACCTCTAATTTTACCTCTAATTTTACCTCTTTGTTCAGGATAATTTTTTTACTTCTATTTTTTCTATGTTTTATTGCTCTTCCACACAACCTGATCCCAGCCTCTCAGATGAGCACAGTCAAAATCACACCAATACATCACCATAATCAGATCTGATTGCAGGGGCTCTCTGGGAGCCAAGGCACTGAGTGAAGGCTAACAGGCTTATTGATCACAGCAGAGCAACAGCTCTCTCTAGCACAGGATTTAGCTCCTAGGTGGACTCTAACATGTCCATTTGTTTTTTCTCACAGGCAAAAGCAATGTGTAAATATTCTGCTGTTAATGATACAGGTCTGTTCCTGGTTAATAAATGGGGAAACAAAAAGATTGAAGTGAATGTCTTGCCTTCTAAAGCTTCATGACTGATCCTAATTCCCTGTCCTTTTTCTATCAATCAAAGCTGATTGGCAAAGCTTTTTAATTCAAGTCTCTAAGCAGGATGATCAGCATTTACTTAGCTAGTGTTGATTTCCACTTGACCAGGCTGCTCTGGAGAAAGGTATCACCTTATAGTGCAAACCCTCTTACAAGGGATAAAGAAACTGAAACCACCTCCATCCTCCTCGTTAACGATCCTCCCGAGCAGCTCTTGGTGTGGGTCAGGGGCTGGGGGTCCCGCAGGAGCTGGGCAGGCTCCCAGTGAGGGCTGTGGCTCCAAGGAAGAGCACAGGGCACCTCCTGTGGCCCCAGCCCAGCTGTGGTGCTGGCTCACGGCAGCCCAGCTCCAGCCCTCCCTTTCCCAAACCCTGGCTCCAGGCACGGTGCGTGGCCTGGGACTGAGTCCCAGAG